CACATAATCAGTCTGGGTCCATGCAGACAATACTAGAAATCACCCGCGGGCAAACCAACCGGGACAAGGTTAAAACATACTAAAAGAGAGGGGAAATATAGGGTTTCGGGGGAGAGGTAGAAGAGAGAGAGAACGGAGACACCTAGTCCAAGATTAATTATTAGCACAATGGCTTCAACAGACTGCTCCTTGGGAAAGGTGAAACCTTTTGGCTTGGTTGCGTCTTGCACACAACATACCCCGTTGGAGTAAAAGGTACGCTAGTGGCTGTTAAGATCTCCACCCCGGTACTATAACGGTTTCCTGCGACCCCAACCTATGGGTGGAGGGCGTTAAAGAGTCCAGACAGGTCTCCGGGAGGTCGTCTTCACTGTCAGATATCATCAGGAGCAACGGCTTATCGTGCTTAAGTTTGCCAACTTCCCAGATCCCTGTCTTCTTCCCTGTGGTGAACGACAACTGTTGTTGTGATAACTGACCCGGCCCCAGCGGTTGCATGGCATGGGTTTCGCACTCAAAGCTATACGGGAAGACAAAGCCTAATGCCTCTAAACATTCACGGACACATGCAGGGGCCGACGCCGCTCCCATTACGGTAAAAGCAACCATAACCACTCTTCGCTGGGTCCAGGGTTCGGTGCAGTGCAATAATGTCTTCCCAGTGAAACGTAGTGGCTTGAATGGGGACAACTCACAACTGCAACCTCTTACTTGGGTCCCGTAATATTCCTTGAGAACATCACCTTTGGGCGACTCAATCCAAATGGCCCCTCCTTCGAAATGGCTCAGACTCCATACAGCCTGTGGGTAATGCGAGTTCCTTAAATCTCTGTGTAGGTCCTTACCCGACATGTGAGTTCAATATATGAGCAAACCTGAGCACAAAGGTGTTGGAGGGGCGCCGTGGCCACACACATCTTACTTAGATCCCTGGGGTTGAGCCCTACCTGCAGTACCCAACCTTCGCCCTCCGCCTGTTTCCACTTTGCAGGACACTTGTCAAAAGATTGTAGGATTTGTTCTCTTAGACTGTCGAGTGACGAAGGCAACGGAGGGTCATTGGGCACAGTATGGTTCATTGGGTCTGTCGTAGCTCGCAACTGAAAGGACCCTCGCTGCATCTTGCACAAGTACTTGAGCAGACCGAGCAATTCATGGTATCAGGGTCGACTACGGCAAGTTTGCAAAAGGCTCGTAACCCTGAATTTCATGAGGCAAACTAAGGTCTCCGTGAACACACAAGACATGCTGGTGAAGCGGATGCAGCTTTGGATAATGCTCTTGTGGGGGAGGGGGTATGCCTGAAATCGAGCTCCAAAGGTACAGCCTATCACGCATTTCCCTGTGATGTCCTGTCGGCCACGCTATCGGCAAGTTCCACCCAGTGTAACACGCTGAATACATGTCCAGTGAGCAATATATTCGCAAAGAAATGTTCTCTACCCACTGAAACAACTCCTCATTCTCAGTTAAGCTTAACGTCTCCGGTCGATCATCCCTGTGTGCAACAAGATTACTGACATTGACATCGCAGACCGCATTCCAATACGGCCAAAGCACGCAATCGTTTGTGTAGATAGGTAGGAAGGATCGCATATACCGAAGTCTGGTTTGCAGCCTAGCTGATGCTGCGTACGACAAGTGCGGGTACCACAACATGAGAAGTTCTTGTAGTTCGAGCGCTGAGATGCATTGACGTCTCAGTTCCCGAGGGGTTTTGGGGAGAACCAACTCAGGGTTTTGATTCATTTCGACTAGTGATCCCGTTGAGCCACTTGATCGATTGTGCTGCGGCACGAGTGTATGCAGCATGCCGCGGTGTAGATTGAAAACCACGATTGTGCAACAGCTGTCTTACGGGCCCATATCACTATGTCGTAACTGAAAGGATTGTACCGGCACGTAGTGTGTCATGATTTCCTGAAATGAGCAATCTCCGCATTTTGCATCAGCGCCGAGCCCACCTTCCATGCATGCTTCATTGCGTTATGAATTACAAATTAAACGCAATTGCAGCAAGAATTACAAATTCAAGTTGTGGGGGGAGTGGCCATCTTCGCTACTGTGTAGTTTCCACTCGCTGAGGCGGGATTGCAAGATTGTCAGCAATGTATCGCAGGGCTGGCAAAATGTCAGAGTGAATCAAAGCGTCATGCGAATTAACAATGCGGAGTATATCACTAAGGTGTGCCAGCACTGCTATTTCATTCCTGCCGGGTTGGGTCTGGGTTTGAGCAACGCGTCGCACTTCCTGGGACAGCTCGGCAAGACCTCTGGCTACAGACGCCGTATGCTCCATATAAAGACTTTCTTCCTTGCTCATAACCCGATCCCAAAGGTCTATGACGTCCTGTATCGAAATGCAGAGGGACTCGTAAAGTTGGTCGATGTCCTTTACCGCACTAGTCAGTACAGAGTATCTACGGCCCAGATGCCTAAAACTCTCCTCCAACTGGTGCTGTACACGAAGGATCAGGGCCCCATGATCGCGGTTCTGGTGTCTTAAACCCTGCACCGCCTGATGTACCTGACTCTTCACGGATTCCGGAAAAACTGTCGCCTCTGGCACTATCACCGGTCTCATGGTTCGCACCAAATCTTCTTGGTGCTGCTTAAGGAGTTGTGACAGCTTCCTCACTTCAGCTCTGTACTCTCTGACTTCAGCCTTGTATTGGTTGAACATATTGGCTGCGGCCGCTACAAGAAGAACGAAGATCAGAGCATTCAACAGCTGTGGCGGAGGTCCATCATTCCGTCCATGGCAGCTAGCAAGGGTAACATTTGCCTGGGGCCAGCACTGCTGCGCAGGCAATGATGCAACCATGTTTGTGAGCATCCGATTACATGACATGTCTAGCATACAGGGTCTTAGCTGCGATCGTACTCGCGCTGCCGACCCCCGGCTGCCCTTACGGCGCACAGTGCTAGAAAGCTTTTACAGATTGTGGGTTGTGGATTTGCAGGTTTCAACTACACGATTCGAAGGCATCTTTTAGTCTGGCATGCATCGAATATAGTCAGTAAGGACTCGCGCAACCTGGACATGGTACCACGGACGTGTCCTACGCAACATATGTCTGTCACCTCGTGCAACATTCCACTAGAAAAAGGACGGTCATTAAGAAAGGACTGAAAGCGATGACAGACATACGTCAAGCAGAACAAGGAAGCCACTCTGAGCTGAAAACCTCAGCCGCGAACATGCATGCTTGAAAGTGTGAGGGCACCCTCAAATTACGAATTATCACCTCATGCATCTTCTCATCCGCGATTCTGACTCTGTGATCTATAGTACATGTCCATAGCCATTGCCATTGCAGCTGACCATGCCGGATCTGGGCTCGAAGGTGCCGTTGAGGGTGCTGACATTGGTGGCCCTTGAGGTATCGCTGCCATCAGCGACAATGGCGCAGGTCCATGTCCAGCCATTGGTGTAGTCATTGGTGTACTTGGAGCCGGCACATTGGGAACGTACGCCGGGATCTGTACGCCCTCAGGCAGCTGCTGCGGCATATGTTGTGGTAAAAGGGGCGGTGGTGCTTTGGGCTTGGGACCTGGTGCAGCCGGTGTCTCCTGGCATGTCTCCGCCTTATCCTTCACCGTCTCCTGGTAGGCCAGAACTTGCTTCAGCATTGCATCGAATTTGTTGAAGTCCTCGCGCAGTGACATTTGCCTGGCTAACATTTGTTGCATACCTTCTTGTAGTTTGTCATCTCTTTGCTGGCATGCATCTCGTAGCGCATTAAGCTCATGCTTCACCGTGCTCAAATCTTGCTTAACCTCACCAACCTCCGTCGTGACGATCTTGGGGAAACCCTGTCCCACGTTTTTCAGAGACTGGTTGGCTGTCATGACCAGGTTGTACAACGCCTCGAAGCCTTGTGTCCCTCCGCTCATGCGCTTAATTTCTTGGGCATGCTGTTTGATCTCCTTGACAATGTCCCCGATGAGCATGGTGCTCTTCTGCGTCTCCTGCACGCCACTCAAAGTTGTGGCCCACGTCGACTTCTCCTCGGCCTTGCTTGCCTTGGTGATAAGGATGGAACCATCTTCTACCTTGCCTTTGACTGACTCCGTGTCCTCCTTGATCAGGTCTGCCGCTGTCTTGATCTCCGGGATGAGGTCCAGGTGAGGACGTTTCGCGGCTAAAGGCAACACCAGGTTAGTCAGGTCCTCCACCTTCTGTGCCATGTCATGCAGGCATGCATCCAAGCTCTTGAAGCTCTGGAATTGAGTTTCCATCAACTCTGTATAGCTTCCTTTGTCCGTCTCTTTATCCTCCGACTGGTCGGAGGTTTTCGCAGTCACCACTGGTTCCAGCTTGCTTGCACTGAATTTGGCTTGCACTAAATTAGTCAGCTTTGTCCACAGACCAGCTTGGTACACGTAGAGCGTGGACACCAAAAGGATAAGAGCCCACTGAAAAAGAACCTCCGTTGATGCGGCCATGGCTGCACAGGTCTGAGATCCTAACCACGAAGGCTGCTTCGACTCGGGAGGAGCAGCTAGATTTGCGAACACCGCATCCCAGCTTCTGCAAAACAATAGTCCTACAGACATCGGAGCAGCGAAATGTCATTATTGGGCTGTCCTGCCCCCCCCCCCTCGCAACATCTTGCACAGCTGAATTAACGAATCTCTCCGAAACCTTTCGTCCCGAGAACCCACTTTAGCAGTCGAGATCCCGCGCCGCAAGAAATGAACGCAATGAAATATATTTAGCCTGTGCGAAGTCCCATTTGCGTTTAAGTAGCTTACAAGGTTGAGGATTGTAAGTTGGATTAAAGAGGGGGGCAAATTGCTCCGGTACCTTGTGCGGTGGGAGAAAGATATGTTGCAATATGTGATAGGTGCTTTCAACATTCTTCCAAAAGGACAAGTGAATAGGGTCCAGAACTCCAGTGCTCTCCGCGAGAATGGTTCGACTAAGGTAAACTGGGTCGACTATACATGTGATGGGGAGGGCTGTTTGCTTCCTTATGACTCGAAACAATTGACCAAGAATGCACAGCCCGATCAGTAGGTTGTCCGCGCGGTGGGTCTTAGATGGCGGCATCTGCAGTACCCTTGCCGTGTTAAGGTCCAGTCCCGACGAGCTCAGAATAACCGAAGACCCCGAGTCGAAATGGTGACAGAGCAAGCAAATCAGACCTTTCCTCTTCCAAAATTCCTTGTGTATAGGCTTGACATGCAAGAACGGTGAAAGATATGGTGCTTCTATCAAAGGGAGTCTAGAGGGTTTAGGGTTTAGGGATTCTGAGCTTTAAGACTGTAGGGTTTAGGGTTGCCCGGAAGAAAGCCCGG